TGATGATTCAATATTTTGGGGAATTCGCGCTTGACGTCGCTCGCATGGCATTTCAATTGTACCAGATATCTGCGTTTGTTATCGTTTACTTTCTTCTTGTGCATTGCCACTTTTTTCCAAACTGGTTTCATCTAGATCCTGACGTTTCATTTTACGACATCGTATCAAAATTTTGTCGCCATGAAACTACTACTTTTGGTCAAGCAATCGGATAAACCGTCTAATATTTCATTTTACGTCATTATATTATGCTATCTTGTTTTTGAAGGCAGTTTTATGATGAGGAAAAGGCAGTTATAAACAAAATCATAAGGTATAAATCGAAAGATAGGCAAGGAAATTCAAAATAAAAGAAATGAAGCAAGTCGAATTACAAATATTTCTATTTTCCAAAATTATTTCTGAGGAATGTGAACAGAAACAGAAGAAAAACCGAGGAGACAAATTTGGGAAATTTTCAAACCTCAATAAAATGTGTTTAGTGTAGCATTCTGATTCGATAATATTAGTTAGAATGAACCACTCTTAACTAATCTACATGTACCAGGCCCAAAATGGCGTCAAAAATTATTTAATCGTTTTTTTAAACAAATTCCAATAATTGTTTGTTTTTTTTTGCTCCGAGCAAAGTTGCTTATTAGAAGCACGTACAGTAAGAAGAACCAGTAAGAAAGCATGTGTATTATTCCCTACGAATGGCCGATAATGCCTGACCAATCTAAATACTGACCATGCTGACAACCCTAAATGAAATCGGTAAAATGGGTGGATTTTGTTTCCTGAATGTATTTTATTTTATTTTAGTTATGTTCATAATTCATTCATAATAGACATTTACAGGGTGTCCAATAAGTACCACGACAAACTTAAGGAGAAGGTAGACTTTGGACTGACCTCCCAAATAACAAAAACTTACCTATATAGAAGTGTCACCGTTTTTTGAGATATTGATTTTTTTCTTAAATTTTAAAAAAACGATCCTTTTCATCTATGGTCTTTAGCTGCATGCACAAATAAGGTTATACATTGTTCATTTTTTCGATAAAATACTTCTAGATAGTTGCTTTATTATATACAAATGCATTGTAGTTAAAAGATATTAAGGAACCATGATAAAATAAGGACTGTTCTGGGATTTATAACCTTCTGATATTGTTTCCTCAACTTTCATAAAATCATATCCGAAGCAGGTAATAAGAATGGAGCTTTGTACTATTTAGCATGTCACTGATCGGTAACCAGTGCAACTTGAATTTAAATCCAATAATTAAATTGTAGTGTGTGTCAGTGACTTACAAAAGCAGCTATCACTTTTTTATATTCCAAATAGTACGTGTGGTGCCATTCTGAAATCTGTATTCAATGAGCAATCTTTTTATTCAATATATTGCAGGGTCAAAGTTCAGGAAAAAATATCAAAAGGTCATAAATTCCAAAACATTCTTTATTTGATCATAATACCTTTTAACTACATTGCATTTGTATATGATAAAGCAACTATCTACAAGTATTTTATAGAAAAAATGAACAAAGTATAACCTTATTAGTACATGCAGCTAGAGACCACAGATGAAAAGGTTCGTTTTTTTAAAATCTAAGAAAAAATTCAATAGGTATATTAAAAACGGTGATACTTTTACGTAGGTAAGTAAGTACCTTTTGTGATTGTTCAAAAATCTTTTTTAGGCGTTGCAAGCGACCTATCTGAACTAATATTTGCTGTTGTATACATTGTCTATATGGATATCAAGATGTATACAATTACAGTTGTATAGTATATGCGTATACAATGGTGTATCTTATACGATGTGTACAATGCGCCCATCACTATGCTGCTTCAAGTGTTAAGAATTGATGGTTCACTCATTGCATTTCATTTGTTTGGGCAGTCAGTACATCACCGCTACGTGTCGGATTTAAATTAACATGTATTCAATAATCATCTTCGGTAATCTATCTCCATTCAAGAAGCAATTTTTATATAACTCTCTCCAGTCAGCGTCTTCGATTAAAATATCAAATCAGTTACATAACCCTAATATATGGAAGAGCCATATTTTTTTGTCTGAGTTATGTTAGAAGTGACTATCGTAGGTTCTCAGTTCTTATGAAGCATACAGGTTTTGCATCAAAATGAGTGCAAAAGTGGAATAAGGTATATGGCCAGACAGTAAGTAAGTTTTGCATTCTAAAACAAAAACTCAATATCAAACATTGTCCGATAATGCTATGGGATACTTTTTTAAAGTACCGGTTTTTCTTGAATATCTCAATAATCCTCCAGCTGAATTTGCCGGAACAAGGGATTTAAATTCGGCAATCCATGACCATTTGTGCATTTATAATGAAGCTTGTTTCTTAATACATTTTACTTAAATTTCCTGCAGTATGTCGGTGACGGATAAATTCCAACAAAATCTGCTGAAGAGCAATTACAATATTGACGAAAAAACGAATTTTTCTTTTCATCTTCGGAATGAAGCGTCACCAAGGTCATAATGAAATAAAACAACAAAAACATTAATGTTGCTCAACTAACGCTATGGCAAGATTTTTATCTTCTTACTGTCCTAAAACACCACAACAATTATCAATGTAAGCATTCATTAACTTCTCCACATTTTTAAGGTAGCACGAAATTTCATATGAATAAGTGTGTCTAATGCTTCTCCAAAAGAAAATCCTGTAGAGAAGCATTCCACGTATAATTCAAACATGTATTGTGATAGATGTTTTATGAAAGTCAGCGGCGTAGAAAATAATTTACTTTTTTCTTCTGCAACTATAATTTCAACACCCTTTATCTTAGTAAGGGAGCATTTTAGAACCCATGTTTATACGAGTATTAAATTTTCCTGTTTTATTTTGATTGTGTCCCAAAAATGGCTCCTCTGTTTTCTGAATCACCCTGTATAAGCTTTTCTTCGCTCAATTATCCAAAGAAAGATCGATGGAGGTCTGAGTAGGAACTTTATTAACATCCATGTAGCTCAACGACTAAAGTAGCTACAAATAATGGCTGAACGAAATTTAAGTATCACTCATGTATTAGTAGAGAGCACCTGGAAGTCCTCAACCGTCTCCAATGGTCATGCCACGTCAATGGCGGATTCAGGAGCGGGTGGTGGCACCTGCATACTCAAGCACTTAAGCAGCGCTTCTGAGAGGAATTGTCCTTGTGACAATAGAAAAACCAGGGGGTGGGATACGTCTAGGGCGGAGGGCACGTCTCACGATTCAGATCTAGCCCAGGGTACCTTGGACACAAAGCATGTCTGATCATATGAACAATCATTAAACGAATCTCTTTGCCTAAAATTGTTCTAAAGATCATCTATAAACAACAACATGATGCACCCTGTACAACCAGTACCTAATGGCACTGTATTGTAAATGGTAAACCGATAGTTCTCTCGACAACATGATAATTAATAATCCAATGAAAATGCGACACACTAATTGAGTAACATTCATGTACATATCTTGATATAATCAGCATAAGTCGTGAGCGTGAAACGCTTTTACGATTATACAGGATTGAGTACTCCCACATAGGAGCTCTTTTCGCATGAGTCGGCCTTTTGGGCGCTTAGAGCTACCAACAAATTGCAGCAATTTATCCAGAAAACAGGTACAAGCTGAGCAGTACATGCATAAAATTGGCTACTCTTGTGCATTCACATGCAGGGACTACCTCCAGGTCTTTCGTCGCAGAGGAAGTTGCAATAAGCCCTTTTGCGCTTTCAGTGCTCGCGTGTGAAGTGTTATCATCCGCAAAATTCGCAGATTTATCACTTTATATTCGAGCATCTCATCAATTATGATGGGTATCCTATGACTGGGAAGTGCCCCATCATCTGCAAAGCATCTCTTTCCACCAGATGGACAAAATGCTTCTTCTCATTAAGAATACGTCCAACCGGAAGCTGCCTGTGAAACTCCCGCGTTGCTGCTGAGATGAATAGGAAAACTCATTTATCATGACAGATATGAAGTATGTCACCCAGTTGCCTCTATCGAAGGCCTTGAGACAGAAATGCATCAAAAGAAAATTATCCGTAGGTGAATGTCACACGATCAATATTGATTGTACGGACTGATCATTCCATCGGTGTCAGTTCGTTTCCACGTAAACTCAGCATCCATAATAAATACTGACGGATCTTAGTTAGTGTTACATCCGCCCTTTACTGATCGAGAAGTTTGATAATAACAAAGATTAACGGCGTGAGTGTTCCCAAATACTGTGACAACAGATGTACCATCAGAATAGTGTTTGTCCAACAAAGCTTGGACGTACTTGTCGCCATATTCGACTTTCCAAAGTTGCATCCTATAGTTTGCCGATTTTCCATTCCATAACATTCGAGTCTCATTTCTTTGTACATGAAAACCATACCGAAGACCAACACCTGGGACACCTTGAGTTGAGTTCAATCTAAGATGAAAATTAGTAACCGCTGACAGTCTCCATTATTACATGTGTATAATATTGCCAAGAAACCAAAAAAGTATAGTAGAAGACTTCGGCAAAAGGTCTAGATATCAAACACCTAAAAGCTACATTTATACCCTACCATCAGAATTTGAAACCGTTAGCAAATCATGGACATTTGAAGTGCATGGAATTCCGGACTATTGATTTGTATTAAAAGATTCATAAACAATAAAGATTCATTCTTTCGTATAAATGTATATAGAAAGGTGTTCGGCAGGTTTTTATATACAGTAAGATTAAAAAACATTAATTATGTAAATCTTAATTACCTAATATAAAGATGGGCAAACAGCTTTTGCTTGGGCAAAAGTAAAAACAGACGACAATAATTTAAATTGGAAATGTGTAATGCAAGCACAAAAGTTTTCAAATAACCATGGTACCGTACTGTACCGAAGAGTTGTTTCAATGTTAACATTCCTTAACATCTGCACCTGCTTACAGATGTGAATCAATAAACATCTAAGTACACTTGAAGCAGAATTAGAAATGATGTACTTACGTTATATTGAACCTCATTTTACGTGTGCGCACCCCAAAGAATACAAAACCCAAAAACGGGGATGGTTGTTTTTTCACCGACGAAGTTCGTTAAATCACTAGATTCTGCAATACGGTCGAACCCATATTTATAAATTCTGTTTCGTATTTTCCCTTCACTTACAGCGGCTCTTGTGGTGCCGAAGAGAAATTTCTACGGTGCGATCGACACAATAAGTGTCTGGTCGACTCTGATCCGCAGTCGAAGTGTGCAAGTATTGCTAATAAACAAATATTTCGAATTTTTTTCACAGATTTTTGCGACATTCTGCATCGTTCTGCAGCATCTTCTGGTGCTTGCTATTGTGCTGATGCAGGTGTTAGACCAGGAAATATGGTGAAATGTAGTATGCTACCCAACTGCGTGTTATTGAGGAGATATAAGAATGAATTTAATATTTTCGCATCTACAGTGGGATCGAAATGTTGTTCACAATGTTGCAATTTCAGTCTACCATCAGACAAAAAAATGTTGAGGTAGGCAAGGCTCTAGATCACTATTACTAATTTAGATCGGCTTATAGTTATGAAAACAAGGTGAATGTTTTTTTTTGCCTATGAAGTGTATTTTGACAAAATCAAATTGTTGCAATGTTGTAGAGTCAATGGGGTTTGTGCAAGGCTCGGCTGAGTATCACTAACCTAGATACTACAACTTCAGCAAAATTTTGACTTAGGTATGCTGCAGAATTTTTAGGCTGTGAAAATCGTTGGTGAGACACATCTTCATCCAGTGTCGTATTTTAAGATTCAGTGCCCTGGCACTTCTGAAGTTTGCCCTCCCCATAATGAAACGGAAAAAACAAAAACTATTGGTTGAGGCGGTAAACGGTAAGGAAGCAAATAATTGGGTGATAACGGGTGAAAAATGCTACTAGACAAAAATATTGATCGTGCCAAGAAGAAAACGTTAACATTGATAATGACGTCTAATTTGCAGTTCCAAAAAATAGAGTATTAGAAATATTTTTTTATTGTTTCACGAAGTTGCTTTATCGCTAAGAAAATGATGGTTAACTCCTCCTTTCAGCCTTAAAGTACTTACAGAATAAATTCTCGAACATCAAAATCTTCAAGTTATTGCAATAGAATCGTTAAAAATCAGATAAGTCACTATTTTCCTTCTATCGGCATGACTCTGACACGTAACCTTGTAGTAAATGTATACTCTGACACATTATAATAGCACATTAAATTCCAAATAATATCCTGGATTTTTGTTCTTATTGTAGTTTTCTTCTTGAGGTCTAATCTACGCTTCTCGGCTGTAACTTCTTTTGTAAAAGAAAGGATTGTAGTTTCAGCGCGATGATACAAAGTTAACATACTGCGATGAAACCATAAAAATAATTTCTGGATACCGTGGATACCCCAGGTTGTTTGCACAATGTCATATAAGCACTTGGAACAGTAAGTCAGTGATAAAAGAAGCCGTATGAGATTCGGAGTGTCCATACAATCGAGAGAACACTTCGATGATCTCTGTTGTGTTTATTCATGTGGCGTTAACGTGAAAAAAATTGTCTACCATTTGTTCTTTTCTTTGAACGAACCCTGCATATTGCTCAATGATGGCCGGAAAACAGGTGTTTTGGGATAAAAAATTAGAGATTCTCAAAAAACTACTTGACCAATATACTCCAATTTTGTTGTTATTATTTAGAAGTATGGATCCTACGGATTTGAAGAATTTCAACTAGTTGGGTGAAATTATCGTCGCATTATCAACACGTGGCAAAACCTGCATTTTGCCTCGTTTTTCAACCATAACTTTTTTGCTATCAGTCGGATCTCGTTACGTGTAATCTCATTTTGTAAGTCTCATAAATACCTAAGAATCTTATTCCACAAGTTTTTTCGTTCCTGCCAACACTATCGATTGAATCCCAAAAAACACGTTTCAAATTTTTTGTTGTATAAAAAGTTTTCTCGCAAAAATTGGTGTACCTGTTTTATGCGTCCATGTTTTAAATACCCCCTTGAACAACTTGCATAAAACCAGACTTTACAACTATGTCACAAACCAATTGTATTTTCGTCTAATATAATTAGACTAATAGCACATTCAGAGAATCTAACTGCTCCAAAATTTTGTTCTGTGAGTGAACCATCACATAAACAAATCTTTAGAGGAAACGAACCAAATTTGAGATGTTTTTTGAAAAGGAAAAATAAAGTACTTGTTGTTTTAGACGAGCGTATATTTTTAAGCAAACTTACGATTTGATGCTCCTAGCTTACTCTAAAATAAAAAAAATAATATGAAATGTATTTTTTTACAGACAAAAGTATATTTTAAAAAAAATAAATATTTTTGTGAATTTACAGGTTCCCTAATTTGAGATACTATTCAAAAAATCTCTTTCTTTTCTAGAAAGTGCAAATGAAAATTTTATTGGTAATCTCTTCACAATCTTTATGTGTCCATCTACTACAATGGTTGTATTTTGCCCATTTTCACCCTATCCGTACAAAATAAACATTCAGCATCGCTTTCATGTTGCTTTCTTCTGACGATGAATCATCTAACTTAAGGCTTCCGCTGCATTCTGAACTGGAACTGGAGGGGGAAGGTATCTATCCGAATCCTTTTGAGGCTTTTAAATAATCCATCTCCTTACTCTTGTGTTTCCAGGCATCTGAATCTTGATACAGCGCCCTAATTTGAGTCTCAAATTAGGAAAACTTGGATATCTCAAATTAGGACTTTACGGTTAAAAAGTTTACACAAGCATATTTAGGTTATTTACCTAACAAAATCACAGTATTGTCAAAGAGAATAAATAGGGTATTTGTAAACTACTAAATTTATATCTTACAATTGTTCTAAATAACTTACCTTAATTTTAGTAATCACTTTTCTCGCACTATTGAAAATATTTTTATCTCTGAAGAAGTAACAAGTTGTAATGTCACAGCAAACCATGTGCAAAACTAAACTGTAAACACATGTAGGATACTACTTTTTGGTATTACTAGAAGATTGTGCTACAAAGATACAAAGTTACACCACTGTCTCAAATTAGGCGCTTGTCTCAAATTTGGTTTCTTTCCTCTAACGAAAGGGCTACTGACGGAACATGTCTAGAAAGCCAAAACTGCTTATCCAAATATGAAATAATTTAATAATAGACTAGAGGTATTGGCTATGACAATAGTTGTAGAAATCAACTCATTTATTTTCATTGCTTTAACATTTTTGGATTTTTGCTTTATTGCAGTGATACTACAATACCTTATCTACAATATAAGCACTATCCGAGAACTGTAGAACCCCCCTGCTTTAGAACAGATTTTTTGAAAAAAATATGTTTTTGAAAAAGCAGAGATAGAACAAAAACAATCGTATATGTTATAGGTAGATCAGTGTCGTACAAATCTGATTTTTCTATGCTATATCTTGACGATTATTATAAAAGGAGAGTACAGGACGTTCATTATCGACAAAGATACCGTAATAAAAACATTCAAAATTGTAAACTAATAAGCTTTCGTTCGTCCGATCATAGATGTCTAACCATGAACAGCTTTTTCGTGCTTTTTTGGCCATGCATTAGAAATGGTCTATGCTTGGTCTAAGGGAGAACATCGAACGAAAGCTGAGCAACTATCCTCTTTTCAAGATAAGGTCTGTTGGAACTGTATTAAGCCAACTATGATAATAGACTTCTAATTATTGCGGAGAGGAGAACGATAGCTGTGACGAATTTTCGTAGACGACGCTAATAAGGTATCTCATTTCATCGCGGATATAGTACGTATTAGGTTGGCTATATCTTCAGGTAGAATACGTTAAGCAACGCTAATAGCCCTATATAATTGGGAACAACTGGAGAAACTGTATTTTTCATAGAAAATGTCATGATAACCTTCGTCACACCTTTATTTAAAAATATATCCAAACATTCTACTGGCCAGCAAATGAAACCACTTATGTGAAAGTAAAGATTTACTTATATTCCTGCCACCGCGGTTGCCATCTCCAAAACACAAACTGACAATGAGAATAAATTTATCTGTCTGTCATCCAAATTCTTTCTTACTAAAAAAGGCACCGAGGTTGACAAAACGTTAGTAAACCTTTAATTATACACGTGTAGTTCCATTTGACGGTCAGTAGAACATGAAGATTGGCCAACGAATAAGTTTCAAATGATATATTTCTTAAATCTCACGCTTAACATTTATACATTTTGAATGTACTAGCACCTACCCTATAACTTTTTTCACGAAGTGCATCCTCTTCAGGAACTTTGTCGAGCGATGTATATTGAATTGCAATGTATGTTGCCTACCCTAGACCCACTTGTTAGCTTAGTTGCCTTCCATGAAAATTAAAATGTGAAATGTCAAATATATATATATGACAATGTATGTAAATAAAAACAGGTTGTTGGATTACTTGAATTGCCTATTTTAGGAAACAAGTTCAGACACAAGTGCAGTTTCTTCCATTCAAAAATGTTATTTCTACTGAGATAAAAAGCATCGGTAATGTACCACGCACGTGCAGCATTATGAAGTGGTACTTTTCTGCAAACAAAGAGTCCAAGGGAAAAATGTGCAATGTGGAAAATTAGAACAAACACCTTCCTGAATATCCTGATATTAATAGCATTGCTTATATTATTCTACTTTGCCTGCTTTACCGATGATTCCTTAAACCACAGAAAAACGATTAGGCGAAGCCTACGGAAGGACATCCGAAACCTTAAATATGTGACATCAGCTTTACGGAATCATAAGGATTACAATGTTTGGCTCATATTCACAAAAGTCACTAATGTTTCAACATTGAGCTACAAATTTCGAGATCTTATCCACAATTTGCTAACTGTGAGCTCAGTGCCTTTAAAGTTTAACATCATTGTTGATAGGGTATCACAAGGTATAGCAGAGAATCAAATAGCAGATCTGTTGTATAGAAACAAAACATTGGTATACTCGTTTTATGATATTGATGAAAGTGCAAGGAAGATACAGGATATAGTAGAAGTTATGACACCATATTTTAGCTCTAAACCAGGTAGGCTTTTTAACAAATTACTTGATTTTAGTCACTGTTGTTTGCAAAGCTTAAATGAAATCAGCTGCATTGCTTTTAGTCAAGTCCTGCCCTATAAGGTGTCGATCTGATAAGAAGTAGGATATTTCCAATATTGTCTAAAAAAGACTACAAAAAGGTTCATCAATGGACCATATGAAAGTTGAAAGGCATTACTTGAATATTTGAAGAAAACCTACCATGTAATGAGTTAACTATTTGTCTCAAAAACTTATGAAGGCATAGAGGCATGTTGATGATTTCATAAATAAAAGACTAGAAAATTAAAGGATAGCTCTTTATTGGGTTATAAACCTCTTAACTGGAAATCGAAAAGTAACTTATCTCCAATTGTCATGCCAGAACTACTTTTATATTACATTATCTTACTTTTATTGAAATAAATATTTTACAGTTTCGGTACATAATCTTTTTTTTGCAGGTACTTATTACAGTGATGCTCTATTCTACATATCCTTAGGCTTATATAGGATAGCACCTCAAAATCAACACCATGCAATATTATTAGACTGTGATTTATATTTCAAAAAGGACATTGCACTGTTATTTGCTGAATTTGAAAGGTATGATTGAAGAATATATGAACATCTTAAGATTAAACATTGCTATTATCAAAGTATAGATTAAAGTTATAGTAAAGTCTGATGGCCAAATAGCTGTGACTGCCATAAGTAGCAGCAATGAAAAGTGCAAGCAGCCACTTTTCAGTTACTGAAAGTTTATTCAAGTTTATTAGTATTAGTAAAATAAACACATGTATGTTGCATACAATTGTGTATAATTTCATTTAAGTTGGCTTACATTGCTTATAACTATATATAGGTAGCTCACTGTTTATTCCAGAATTATCAAAGTAGCTCACCACACTGAAAAGGTTGGCAACCACTGGTCTACAGTAATCACCCCATGTATTCCTGTGCAAACATACATCCATAGTTCTATCCTAAAACATTTACTTTGTAAGATTAAACAAGAAATATGAATACATATCTCAAAAAATTTATGTGTTGCGAAACTATGGATGTGTGATAGGGGTCATATTGTAGCACTCTAAGAAAGCCAAACATGACAGATTTTTAGCCAGTGATCTTACTTTTCATGAATCAGAATACTTTGCTATTTACTTTAACCTACCAACTTTTTTTTAGATTCAAACCAACTGCTCTATTTGGGCTGGCCCCAGAACTAACCCCTGTGTACCGCCACATCCTTCACATGTACAAAGCTAAGCACAATACCACCTTTGGAGACTATTATAAAAGTGATGCTCCTTCTTCCAATTCTATACACTCTAAGGGCTTCCAAGGTTATAACTCTGGAGTGGTGCTTATCAACCTCAAAGCACAAAGGAATTCAACAGAGTTCCCTAAGATCATCACTAATGAGACAGTGCATAGAATGACATCAAAATACAGGTAACATTTCTACTAGTCTGACCAATCTAGAGAGCTATTTTCTTTGTAGTCAATTTACGCCTATAGAGAAAGAGAGATATTTTTCTTTGAGCATTTTATTAAATTGATTCGAATGTCATTATAAGATGTTTCTGAATTAACATGTTATGTGGACGCTGAAAGCACGACGTTAAAATCGCGTAGAGCATATGGATGCTAAATGTGTGACATCAGCAGTGCACTGTTGAATCTCCATGTTTCACTAAACACCAAATAATATCATAGATGTAGAGTTGAAGTTCTACTAATGCTTCGGCCTTTCTCAAAGTGCAATAAAGATGACAATATCAGTGTATTTTATTTTTTTAAAGGCAAACTGTTGTGTCTGATATTATTCTCTCACAAGACAGACAACAATGTGCACTTGAGGTGTCAAACTATTTACTATTTCTTGCATTCTAGATATAATAGTCAACTGCTATCTTACGACAACAGTTGGGTAGTAGTTTTCGCGTTCTCGAAGTCGCCTGGCGTTTTCGGGGCGATGAGCGATTGACGTATCTGGTACAGCCTGAAGAACAGATAACATCATGCTCGCTTGTCCCTTTGGAAGGGCTGGACGTCTTCCGAGAGCGAGAATGCCCTCACAGGTGGGGCTTTGTTGGGTTTGTGCGGTGTCATTCCGTATAAACCCCCCATTCACGATCAGGGCATCATACAAAATTTGAGGCAACCATAATCAAAAAGTTTTAATAATATTTAATATGTCCGCTGTCGAGCGCATTGCTTCGAAGTTGGCATGGATGGTTGTATGGAAATAAAGCACCTGAGAATTTTGGTGACAAGACGTCAAGCGTCGACATGTATAACGCCATGAGCTCAATTGTTAAATAAAGGAGTAGAATAATGGGTAGAAAGTGAGCCAGGTTCTATTATCTTTCAAAGAACTGTATTCCTGAACACATAGATGAGTCGCTTCCCAGCTTGTTTTCGAGAGAAAAAGTGCGTAAGTCTCACCATCGTTCTTCAGTCTCATCTCTAAAGACAAAGTTAGCTTTGTGATGAAACATTTAATGAAATGAAGAACCTGAGAATATAATAATAATATCTTTATTGCCATTTGACTTAAAAAAAGTATCAGCAAATTGTCAATTAACAAATGAAAAAAAAATCAAAAATTTGTGATCCAGTCAACCCTAAAGTCAAAGCTAAATGAATAAATCAGAATCAGAACTTGCGGACTTATAGAAACAGCCAAGTGTCAAAAGAATACCTTGGGCATTTATGTCTATCATTGAATACTCAAAAGCATATTCAAGTTGAGGAAAACTACAACTACAACCTTGTACTGAATTTTAGAACAGATAAAAATCACACCTCATCCTTTCGCATTGCTTCTATAGTAGGAGCCAGCAAGAGAGTAGTTTTATAGGATAATCGTTTCAACTTCATGAGATTGTAACTTTCAGTTATACAAACAACTTCTGGGTAAAGCAGGCCTAAAAGTAGTAACTCAAGATCCTCAATTTTATTCCTCAGGTTACATGTGCTTAAATCACAAGTATGTAGTTGTATGTTACTGCTGTTGCCGAAAATGCTCGCATTCACAAACTTCTTTGATAAATGTCAACAACTGCCAGGATTTGGAATTCATTCCCCAGAGAGCATTTTATTCTGACCAAACTTAGTGCAACGCTAAAAACGTAACGTTTTCAGCGTCCTCTGTGTCTCATAAAAGTGTCTTTGATCAAACTTAATATACTCGGAGCTTTCAATTTTACTTTTATACTGTTTTTTCTTTGTAGGTTCAGAGGGCATCTAGGTGACCAGGATTTCTATACGTTAGTAGGTTATGAGTATCCTCATTTGATTCAAACTTTGAACTGCGGATTTAATAGGCAACTTTGTACTTGGTGGAGAGACCATGGGTATCTTAAAATATTTGATAAGTACTTTAGGTGTGAGCATGAAACTTTGGTTTTGCATGGTAACTGTAATACAAAAATCCCGAAATAAGTTCAACTTAAAATTTATTTGCCACTAAAAGTGTGTCTCAAACTTTAGAATTTCAATTCTAGCATTAGCATCGTAAAATACCATGTTTCCTAAATACTTAAGTAAGATAGTGGAATAACATTTAGGATATTTTATGTAAAGTGTTTTATTTATCGCTGGGGGAACGCGGTAATGTAATTTCTAATGAAAGCAAAAATTAACAATTTTTACAAAACCATACCATATTATCTTTTTCTTTGAATTTTAAACGATCTATAGAGCCGTGTTCCATGGTGATTTATAATTATAATTAAGTTCGATATCCAATTCGTTGGATAAGATACATACAAAGTGCATTTAAAAATGCAGTTTTATACTACATAGAGCAATATATTGTAAGTTTTAAAGGATATATAAGACAGAGAAATTTATTATGTACATATTACAGATGTACTATATATGACCTTAATATTTAGTTATACCATTATAGCAGTATTTTTCTAATCATCGTTAGCTAATGTAAGATATGAAGGGTTTTAGTTACATATGAACATTAAGAGTACAAGTGCACAAATATAAAGGGTACTATAAAAGTTTTGCAATACAGCTTTATTTATTGAGTTCAGTCAAAGTAATTTCCACCACATTCAATACATTTCTCCATCCGCCAAAACCACTCCTTAAACCAGCTCTGCCAAGTTACACCCGGGAGTGCGTCACACTCGTCCCAAGCCCTCAGAAGGGCCGCATCGCTAGAAATTCCGTTTTCCTTTTAGCTACATTTTCACATGCGGAAACAGCGCAAAGTCGCAGGGGGCAAGATCCGGACTTTAAGGAGGGTGCTCAATAAGTTTCAGACCACTAGTGGTCAAATACAGGCTTTGGCGTGGTGAGCTGGAGCGTTGTCATGATGGAGTTACCAAGTGTCCATTCTTGACTTTGGTCGCAGGTTTTTCAAGGACTCTATGACTTTAGGCAGGCACTGTTCCGTGTACCACTTAGCTGTGACTGTCTTCTGTGTGTCCAAAACGACTCGCTCCGCAATCCCGCTCGATTTGAAAAGACCGCTATCATTTTTTTTTTTTAATAGATCGGGATTTTCTGACAGCTACGGGAGTGTCCTCATCATCAAAGACCCAAACTTTGTTATGAGCCTTAGATACCAAGTTTGTCCCTTATCAAACATTTTGAGCATCTTTCGGCACCAAGTAGTACGACGAGTCTTCTGCTATTCCGTCAGATTATGCGGTACCCAGAGAGAATAAAGTTTCCTTACGTGTAAATGGTCATGCAGAATTGAATGAATTGCTGGTGCATGAAGGTGTAAGGTCTCCTCTATCTGTTGGTATGGCACTCTCCGGTCTTTGTCAGTCGTTTTCCTCACAGCAGTAATGGTTTCATCTGTTACTGACGTTCACGGCCTTCCTTCACTTTCAGCATATTCCAGAGTGAAATGGCCCCTTTGGAATCCTCTGTACCACCTGAATATAGTCATACGATGAGGAAAATAATTCTTTAATGCAAGCGTTATTTCTTCTAAGCACTGGTCTAGGCTAAAGCCACGCGTAAAGTTATACCATAAAACTGTTCTTATCTCACTACATAACCACGATGCCATAGTCCGCACTTTTCACTGTCAATACGAATGAACAACTAAATCAACGGACGTGCTGCTGGCGGATACTATGCCCTCATGGACATGTCTCAACATGCAGCCTCCTGCGTTCGTTTGTTGTCATATTGCAAAACTTTTATAGTACCCTTTGTATATGGGTATGTTGAAATATATAACTAATACTGTATATCTAATATATATTCAAACATTTATAAAAATTCAGAACATTTACCAAATATCTTGTCGCATTTTGTAATCGTTGACAAATCTTACATCAGCTAATTGGTTGAAAAACAGATCTCAAATTGTAAAATTAGGGACAACAGATAAATCCGTAAATCAATAGTGGATGATGACATTTCTATAATGTTTAAGCCACCACTATATAATAATAGTAGTAAAATTTTTTATGACAAAAGTGGCGACAACCTTTTTTTTCTATTGAACGTCTTGAATTTATTTTTATCTGTAATTCGATATTAACGGATCATTTATAAATTATTTTTATAATTTTAATTTTAGGTAGTTTATAGCTAGATTTTGTGATACTTTTGAATAACTATTTTATTGAAATTCTGTTGTGCAATCATGAAGAAAATATTTTTATATCTGTATGAATATCAGCAATAAAAAACATCTACTGTTATTTTGTGTTTGCGCCTTTGCAGCTCATAAAACTATAGTAGAGCCCAATTATCAATTTTATGGTACTAAATCCACAATTTCTGCGGCATCTCGCTGTTACAGTAACATATCTACTAACAAAACGAACTAATGTAAAGAGTTTGACTTAACACTGAGCGACAGGTACTGAGAATAAGTGATACTTGTCTGCAATCTACCTCCATTATCACCATATCTCTCGTAGAAATTGCTACCCTATTGTCGTTCGTTGTCCCGCCGTATACAGTTGGTCGTGGGTTGGGCGGACAATATAACTTTTTGATTTTAAATAATTGCGTCGCGCGTTTTTATTCGAAGAATCCCAAATGTGACGAGCTCTATCCAAAAATGCAATTTCAATGGCTGAAATCATCAAGGTTTCAAGGATGATGCGGTTTATCCTCGTGTGTTGGAAATTCGTACAATGGAAATGAACTTATCCAGGGGCGGATCTAAGATGACGCACCTTGCTTCTGGTTTCGGGACTCAAGGTGGCCCTAGAACGCAAGTTTATTTGCCTAGCACATTTACGGGAGTAGTCAATATGTAGTCTCGTTCAACTCTCGCACGTTTATTTCCAGATCATCGAACGGGACAATCGACACCATCGGGAATATTAACGGATATATTCTGATTCATTTTGCTTTCCCTAGGTTATTTGGTAAACGAATCGTAAGGTAGTAGTCGGTGTCGTCAGTACAAGTGCGCCAATTTAGGTCTGTTTAATACAATATAAAGGGTTTTCTATTAAGGACTTGACAACTTTCTTTTTCATCGCAAACCATTTGAAATATCCCAATTCGACCTCGTTTATAATTTCCACCACGGGCACGTTCGCAGCGATCGATTGTTGAACCCAATTTTCAATGACTCGGTCATACATTTCGACAGAAACGGCCGCTATCTCTAGTTCAATATTGGCTCTGAACTCCTGCTCTAACGACGCCGGCTTGTTGGCATAGACCAATGATTTAATGCAGTCCCACAAAAAAGTCTAGAGATGTTAAATAACACGATCTAGGCGCCCAATCGACAGGACCATTTCTTGATATAACACGTTCACCGAATTTTGCTTTCAATATGTCGCTTGTTTCACCCGCTGTGTGGCTTGTGGCACCGTCTTGTTGAAAGCACATATCATTAATGTCTAGCCCATCCAATTGACCAAAAAAATAACGTTGACTGTAAGGTGACGGTCATTTTCATCAATGAAAAAAAAACGGCCCTATGACACCACCGGCATGAAAACCACACCATACATTTATTTTTTGTGGTTGAAGTGGTGTTTCTTGAAGCACATGAGGGTTTTCACCTAACCTTCACCTGCATATTCTGTTTGTTGACGAAGCCGTTTAGCCAAAAATGCGCCTCATCACTAAAGATGATTTTGCGATAAAATTGGTAATTTTCTTGCAACATTTCTAGAGCCAAATTTTTGTTCCTACAACAAATTGAAAATGTTACATACCTTTTAAAGCGCCAACATATTTATATTCAAAATAATTGTTTTGGAGATCTGAATTTTTGGCGTAAAGTATATAACGTAACTGAGTCGGTCAATGATAACATACATAGGTGATAAATAAAACAAAACATTTACGTTTCAACGTCTTAATAAAAAATACAGCAAACAAACAGCATACAGGTTCAACAGATTCAGTAAACTTCTGTACATATTTTATACATATATTTACACATTTTAAGTATGTATTTTAAATACTGAATCCCATAAAAATTACTGGAATGTATATGATACACAACCAAGCAAAAAATTAAGACAGCATACACGTAGAAATAATACAGTGAATACTGCCGGTAAGGATCACAGGCTTTAAAAGTAATAGTATATTGCACCATTTTTGAAGTGATGACAGGTCAGACACTGAATATGGTAGAATTTTTTATTTTGCACCTCATCAGCCCTTTATGTACTAATTTACTTTATTTAGAACATGAAATAGTGCAGCTCTGGAATCATTTTCTGGCACTATATCATTTGTGTAAACCGTGCCAAATAGTGACAGTGTACATGTTAAACAGAATGGAATTTTTATCTAACGCTTCGTATCTTTTAACTCAACGTCTGCTTTCATATTTTTACTATTTTTAGATTAAACTTTGTATTGAAGTACATGAATTCCTATAAATCATTATTTCACATTTCATCACGTTCTGATCAACAAGTAGTAGTACCACCTAATCCAACATACATAGAGGGAAAGGAAGAATGACTCCATTCCCTGAGCGATTATCGACACTACCTAAATCATTCAACCTTTTAAAGTTTCTGTAAGATAAACTATTTTTTTTTTTTCATCCATTGGTTGGCGGGAGAAGTCTCAGCAGGACATTCATGTTTACGTCTAGTGGCAGCTACACTATACCCACCATGACAAAGTTATTTAATACACCTGTGGTGGAATGCTTGGCTAACGACTGAGGGGTTTTGGTATGACGTATTTTTTAGACTTCGAGCGGGAAAGTAAAAAACGTAGCGGTAGCATTACCAACTGCAAAACCTGTGGCATTATTTTCCGTTCTTTAGCAAAAAAAATGGAAAGGATACCAAAATCCATCGCGAGTTTTGTGTTAAAAATATTTTTTCGGATAACTAAGATAAGTGGTCCGGTAGGCAGAGGGTGGACGCTTTTTGTGGCCCCTCAAAGGGTGATTGACATGAACGATAGTTAACACTACGCCAGCAATGAATTATTTTAACACTTTTTGCCGTCAAAGAGATATACAATGGACGTATTGACGGCCGGAAGCAGTTGACTCTCCATTTGCTGTCTTATTGCTAGACGCGCCCGGCTTCACGACAGTAACCTGAGATTCTTAGGGTGACGAACACCAACCGAGATATTTCAAAATGAAATTAGTATGTTGAAATATGTGATATTACTGACTTCCGTTGTTGCATAAACAGATGTATAGAGCTATGCAGCTTCAGTATTGGAAATATTATCTTATCATTCGTATACAAGTAACATAAAACTCCGATTTTATACATTTTGAACAAAAATAATATAGCATGAGATAGCACGAAGCGCCATCTATCGCACCAGAATCGAACCATTGTGTATCGCGCACCGCTGCTATCAGTTCCCGTTTAATAGCCGTGCCGCTAGATGGCTAATGATTCTGGCTGAATGTAGAAGTGCTCTACTTGCCATTGAACAGGTTAAACAAGATGATTTCGTCCATCCGACCAAGAAAAGAAGCCAACCATGGACAGCTGTTTCGTGCTTCTTCGCTGCTCATCTTTTCTTGGTCGGACGGATGAAAGCATCTTGTTTAACCTGTTCAAAAGCAAGTAGACCACTTCTACATTCAGCCAGAATCATCAGCCATCTAGCGGCACGGCTATTAAACGGGAACTGAGATCCATAACAGTTCCGTCTAATAGCAGCTGTGCGCGATCCACAATGGTTCGATTCTGGTGAGATAGATCGCGCTTCGCGCTATTTCAAGCTGATAAACAGTACCTCCTGCATACAAGATCATTGTGATGCTTTCTTTGGTTCGTCCAGAGATAAGAGACCAAGGCAATACCATGCTAATGAGTATCTAAGAAACACACAGCTGCCCATGGTTGGCTGACTTCTTTTCTTGGCCGAACGGACGAAAGTATCTTGTTTAACCAACAATAATGTAGTTTTGAATCCTATTGGTTGATGTTCGCTACCCTTAGACTTTTCCCACCTGACCGAGGATGTAACTTATATCTTGTAAATTTGTTAAGTGACATCTGAGAACTGACAAGAGAAATAATTTTGTTAAATTACGAAATAAATATTTTTATATTCAAAAAGCTATCACCTGCCTGCAGTTTAAAATATTGAGAATGTTTTCTGTAACAGTACATATTAGAAATTTGTGTCTCTTATTTAGATCTGTTGACACATGCCATGTTGTCGAGACTACAGTCATGATTATAGTTTGTGGGCATTTTCCTTTTCATAACTGACGGGACAAACAAATTATAAGTAACATGAATGAATCTAAATGAAGTAATTGATAGCTCGAAATCAAAAATATATGGTCATAAAAATTCCCGGTACAAAACACATTATAAACTATAAATTGACAAGATTATATCACATACTAATTTGTTCACATACTCACATTTTTAGTTGCTTATCAAAGTTTTTCTTATGATAAATACTTAAACCACTATTAACCAGAAAAAAAAACATGTTTAGTTTGTTTTTGTCGATACTACCGTTTTTTATAGTAATGATGAGTAGTTTTTGCCATTGATATTTTCATTACCATTCAGTACCAATGCTTACATTCGCTTTAAAATTTAAGTGCTGTCTTACAATGAGGAAATACCCTGGCATAACCTTATACAGTATGTTACCCCTAAAACTATACAACACTTGCATCATAAGGAGCGTCACCATTAGTAGCAACACATGTTCTGTGATACTCGTCCAGTGGTACGTGCTTGAGCTGCGGGCGGGGCGCGAGACTCGTCGTTTGAAGAACAGTACCTAACCAGCGTTGCCATTTACTCTCTATGATGTCCGAGTTGTGCAATATCAGTAGTAATACAGTGTATATCAGAAACTGTGCATTTCAAATTGGCAATCTACAAAGTGTCTTCAAATGTAGCTGAAGTGTTGATTCAGCATCATCCAAATATATGAACTATACCCAAAATCAAGCTTAAATCCCAAAACCAACCAAAATTCCCTGCATGTTCCTTCATTTCAGTGTTTGGTATGATCAGTCACACCTCACACCTAGAAACATCCACTCCAGCATCGAGTGCTTCCACCATCCACAATTGGTGTCAGCTTGTTCGTGATGATAGTTACCTGCACATTCAAAAACATATTTCAATGAAGGCTTAGATATGCTATATAGCCCTGACTTTCCGATGAAGTAAGTTAGCCGAGACTGATCGCTCGTTGTCATATTCTTGCGCCTTGATGTATAAAAATACACCCGCTATCACAGTTACTGTTCCCAAACCGCTTAGGATGGTTATCGGATTGCCGAACATTATTATCGACAGCCATATGAGGAAGGCTCGTTTTGCCGTGTTGGCAACACTAAAACAAAGATAAATATTACAGTTGGAATAGTATATCATACTCACGGGCGACAAGTTGTAGCACCGAAACAAAGAGCGCGTTCATTAATGTATATGCAACTGTACACACTATGTACGCGCGTTCGAGCTAACAGCTGTTTGCAGTGCGACAATTTGGGTAACTTGCATCTCATGCAAAACGCTGTATGAACAGTATCAAAGGCCATGTTTACATCGTGGCTCGCTAATCACGGGATCTTGTTCTGTGTGAGAGCACTGTGTTAAGAAATAGAGCAGCATCAGGCCATTTGCGCGCCAGACTTCAGCACAGCAACAATATCCATGTTTACTCCATGGTCACTATCGCCCGTATAGCGCACAGCATACGGTGTAAATGGCCTGAAGCTAAAACACAACCATAATCTTTATCAAGTAAAAATTTGCAACTCGTATGACAATACGACTTGGTTGCCTACATACCACGGCGCCGCCAACCACTTATTCATACAAGTATATACCCTATTTCACGAGTATCCATGCTTTGACGTCTACTGAGGTGAACAGCAGAGCCGCTTTCCAGTAGCTCGTTCGTGTTATGCCGGGTCCACACCAAACCAACCAAACAGCAACTCAATGTTTTTTAACAATTAAGCAACAAATCGGCAACATTTTGTCAACAATTCGTGTTTTGTTTCTGTTTCTTGCAACTTTTGGCGTTCCCGTCTGTTTCGTTTTCATTTCAGGCAACATTGCCGGTGCGATGTGTACTTTGTTGCAAAACAAATATAAAACAGAAAGTAGTATCAAATTCGAAGGCGCTGTGCAGGGTAGTTTAAAAATAAATACGCAATATGTCGGGTGAAAAATTAAAGTTGAGTGTAGATAACAGGAGTAAATTAATTGAATTATATAAGGAGTATCCTATATCTTAATGTTACGTCCAAACGTTCAACTAGATTAATGGCATTTCTGAAATTGGTATTATGTTCTAGATTTCAGGACCGATCAGCTGTATTGATTCTTCAAAGTTATCACTGGACATTCTTAAAAAGTTCTCAAAACTAGAACGTATTTCTCCTCGCAATCCAATATCATCTTTACGCAAATCGGACAATAATAATTTTTCAATACCACGATCATCTCTTTCACGTAAGGATGGTTTCTCCCCAAAGCGTTTTTTATTTTCCCGGTCACTACTCTGGAGAAATACATAACTAGCAGAAATTATTTGTTTTTGTTTTGTTGCTTTGATGTGGACCCGGCATTACCCGTAGAAACTCGGAGATATCCACCACCTGTCAATACAGTTCCAGTGCTCTAGAGTGTAATGAACCTGAGGTACTCATTTTTGAAATCCCCTCCCCCCTCATGCACCAGCTTTTTAATCAGTGTTATAGGCTCCGAAATAGTGAGGATAACGAAAATGCAATGGGTCAAGATTGTTAGGTTATTTTTTTTTATAGTTTTTTTTTCATTAAACTCACATTAAACCGATACCAGACAATGAATGAAGGATGGTAAACTGATAATGTTATGACCCAGAGTCACAACGCACATTTGCGATATTCCTTAATAATAAAGATCACAAGAGACTGCAAGAATGCAGGTTCATAACTACTTGTAGTTGGCTTCATCTATAACGAAAATAATTTTGAGTGTCTACACTGAAATATAAATTCGACACATTGACGTGTTGCGCCATTAATTCAGAAAGCATCATCAGGCATCAATTGGATAGTCTGACAATGCTTCTAACAATAAAGGCAAACTGTGTTTACATTTTCTTTGTTTGGCAGTGTGATGCGAATTGTCAACGTCAAAGCAAAACACCAAAAAACAGGTAAGGTTTAGCATCGCGTTCCCGTGCACATTTGTTAGAGCACTTCAGGATCGTCACACTCCGGGTGCATACAACTCTCAACTCAAAAGCACTGGAAAGAGGCTCTGATCAGCAACTGACATTTTTGTGTTAGTCTGCAACGTTAGCAATAATGAATCGGGTGTAATCTAGTAAAACCTGTTTGTAGTGTTTTGTTTTTTGTATGTATGGTAAATGAACTTTTCTAAATAAAAGAGCTTTTAGCAAGTACAAGATGAAACCAAAACAAAATATGGCTCTGTCTACCTGGCATTGACGGATCCGTGTGTGTCCTTTGCTGATATGGGGATTTTTTAAACATTACTAAATAATCAGCTGTCATTTTGGCGTAATGGATACTCGTAAAAAAGACTACATGCTTGTTGACTGTCATCTTTAGTAGGTATTCAGCGTCGCCACCTTTGGGACCTTATGCCCTCATGAGATTTCGTTGAGAAATTCTGAGAATAAAAAATCTTAAGAATAATTACGAAACGGGTGTTATTTCCCTGGGAGGTTAATGTCATGTTTAAGAATAAACAATTTTATTTAAAAGTAAAATGGGTTGTTTTCATTACTTTTAAGGGTAAATGTGGGATCCTACTTAGCAACATTGCTATGCTGATGGAAATTGTAAGTGAGCGTCCAAATACGGCATGTGGTTGAGCATCTGCTTGGATAACACCTTAAGCAAAGCTTTAGCACAATGTCAGTGCTACTTTTACCATTTAGTCGCTATCACAGTGTTAAGCGCACAATATAAATGGTCTGGTGCTGCACATCTCTTGACACATGTGTTAACATAAGGAACGGCATATTTCCACGGTTAGCTAACCAAATTGTTCATACCTGTATTAGTAAAAAATTGTAACTCAGATGATGGAACAACTTTTCAGTTTGACAGAACAGGTGCTGTAAGCTGTAATTTCTTACGCACTAAAACTGCAGGTCCCTTTTATAACAGTATAAGTAATATTGTTTGTCTTACCTATGTGTAACTGGACTAATATAATCCATAAGTACATAAGCTGTAATGCTTTGGAAGTGGAAGAAAATGCCATTAAGTATGAAATAAAACAAGAGTTTATAAGATATCCTGTCTGTCCCAGAAAAATCCACCATGAGTAATGTTGCTGGAATTTGTACCACTATACTAGCTATGCTGGTGTAAAACTGCAACTCTGCTGGCCTAAAAGACAGATAACATGAAGATCAGAAATATCCACAACACAATGTAAATAAGATTTGAATGAGTACATATATATAATGTAATGGAATGGAATTTTGATGTAATAGAAAAAAATTTAATGTTAATAAAACAAAGTGTATTGTCAAATGTACAAAAGAGATAACATATTGATAAAAACTGATGATGAGACCATAACACTTGTAAGCGAAATTAATTATATTGTGACAAATAGCGCCATCTGTTGGGCGAGTCTCCTACTCTCCAGAGCTTAATTGCCGATCTCTGCTTTTACACGACCGCACAAGCTGCCTGGCGGCGTCTGTGAGGACCGTGATAGTGGATCGCCTTCTAGATCGCCGCGAAGTGATCTCCAAAGTTCTAGATGTCGCTTTGTGATCTTTCTCGAAGCAGGATTGGAACTATATATAACTCGGTAGAGTAGCAGAGCGGAGAGAAGTATAGTGCAGTCAATGGTGACATAAATAGTGGTGCATATAAATGTTTTATCAAGTTAAATAAATCAGTGCATTTCTTTTTGAGGAATCCAGTGTTTTAATCCACGCCTAAAAGAACCCAGAAAAACGCTACAATATAGGGAGTTATTATAGACCAAAATTTAAGTTTCAATGACCATGAATGTGGTCTGCATACATGCAGAATTCCATCCAAGTTGTCTCTGTGGTGCAAATAAATAATTTATAACAATAATGTATCCACATTTCAATTATTGCTCATCATTACTAATTTCTTGTTCAGCAGAGGCTACAACTATTATTGAATAAGTGTATGAGAATACTATTAAATTGCAATAACTACATGGAAATCGAAGTCATGAGACAAAATTTAAGACGCAAACTTGATTTTATAATACGAAATTATGAACAATAAAGTGCCAACTTATTATAGCAAATTCATGTTGAAAAGATCCGGAGCCCGATTCTAAATGAGATTCGACAGTTGAAATTATTTCAATGACCCCTTGTGATGATTCGCTATGATAATTTTGACATCTCCTTATCTCAATCTTCCGTATCCAATTTAACATGTCATTGACAAAACTTATCATACCAAATCAAGTATATTGTCACAAGGCGCCATCAAAATTAATTTCAATGATTGAAACTCATTTAGAATCAGGCTCCTTTTTGACGACCTCGTATTATCAATACTATACACAAGCCATCTACTGGTAACCAATATGCCAGCTCCAGAGATGAGATATACCTATCGTTAATATTGCACCCACATACGTGATATAGACAACACACAACATCCATGGCCCGAAAATAAACATCCGAGGCGGAGATTCGATCCCGCGAGCCCTGGGATGCTAGCTCGAGGCGCTAAACACCGAGCTATCAAGGCTCCACTTTCATAAGATCAAAATAAAATCATTATTTTGAAAGGTTCAAGACTAGCAGCTAAATAAACACCTAATTCTCTAATAATCATAACTTACGTATACTTGAATTTATCGCCAGATATAAGCATTTTTGAATAAACATTTTGGATACATTCAGTAACATTTGTGGCCATTGCTGCCATAAAGCCAGTAAGATCAAAACTGACTTCATTTATTGAACAAAGGGCCAAACCTGACATAACAGGAAGTAGACTTAGATTCACATATAGGCCTGTTTGTTCACCTAAAAATTGTAAGCACACTATATAACAATGGTATATATCTCCCACAAAAATATTTACTACTAACTGCCTCGATTTCCAATTTATTATTTGAGATATTTCTAAATCAGTTTTTCCTTATCATAATAATTTTCTAATAAATGTCAGGACAAAAAATGCAATTTATATGTGGTTTTCAACATATTTACTGTTACATAAAAAGCAATCACTTTACTGTTTACACAGTTGTTTAATGTTAAAAATATCTGTAATTTTTTGATAGCATGAATGAGCTTTGTTGGTCATACCATTTTTTCAACTTACCTAATAAGAACCTTGATATTAACACAGTAAATAGTGGAGCAGAACTTTTTATAGTTTCAGTGAAACTAACTGCTACGTAGTTCAATGCTACTAGACCCAATACAACTGTTAAAAACCTAAAAAGAAGACAGACACCTGAGAAGAGCCATTTATCAGGAAGACCAATCAATTGTGCACAGTTTTTGAGTTATCGCCATTTTAAAGAAATTGTAGAAAATTGCTACTTTCTAAACTGTACTAATTTTTTGCACATATCTTCTGTTATTTTTCAATCAAGTTATATTCCCAAATGATATATCAGCGCAAAATTAGTCCAGTTAATGTAGGTATAGCAAGAAGCTAAGGTACAATTCTGTCGACAAAAATATTACAACATAATCAACAAGCCCTATACAAAAAATTAGTGGTTACATGAAGTATCTATAGTTATAAAAAACTTCTGAATATTATAGCCTTCCAAAGTACCTGTTAGATAATCAAATATCCGAAATAGTTTTTGTGCAAAATAGACACAACACTGCAGGTACCTTAAATCTCGTAAATTCCTATTTGGTGAACTTAATCTGATAACTGTGATTGTTAACCTTCTACAGTCTGAATAGGACGAGGAAGGAATTAATGGTGCATAAATGTTTAAACTTGAATGAATTCTAGATCTGAACAATTCAAAGAATGACAGATTTGGCATACCTTTGGGCCAAAATCTTACACTATTCATGTTCAACATATATTATCTAATACAATTTTATAACAGGGCTGCCACATTGATGCTGTTCATCAATGTTTATCCACAACAATTCACTGTGGTTTGATATTAGCTTGATGGGAAAATATTTACCTGAAGCACCCAACCAACACCATATGTTGATAAAATCCAGGTGGTTTATTTAATCTTGATGATGGCTTATACATTCCGCATGGGAAGTATAGCTGTATGAAACCACATGTTGCAGTCATAAGCATTTGACAAGCTCCTTAAAAAGATTAAATGATGAAATTAGTGTCTAGCCAATAATTGTTCATAGTATGACATTCAGCACTTAGTTCTGAAATGTGATAATAAATAATAATACTGCATCAACCCATAACCAAAATTTTAATGCAATTCTTCATTAGTAAATCAATACAAAGATGTATGAGATTTGTATCTGCATCATCTTGCTGATATTTCAAGCATAAATCTGTAAAAACTACACTACTTTTAAATTGGTGAATTAGCCTTTGCCAAAAATGAAGAAATTGAATATTTTCTAGGCTTATTTTTTTATGCTCTTGATTGTATAGCAAACAAAATATTTGTATGATTCTGGAGATCTCTACTATTATCGTTAGTATCCTCATATCAAATTAGTTACAGCACTTGCCCATCTTAGACCTACCAAAAAAATGTTACCAGGTATAACAAAACACTCTGTTTCCATACCCCAAATACTTATCCCTTGCATCTAGTCATGGTGCTGTTAATGTTGATACATTCTACTTTTGTATAAAATTGGTAAGGAGAGACCATAACAGCGAACATCACCACTGCCATTACCAATGAACCTTCAAGACACAAGTCGCCCAAAAAGTTTAATGAAAGTGTTACTTACCCAGCACTGTAGGATTGCCATCCAAGTATGTTAAAATATATTTGTTCAAAAACAAGGTGCATCCGCTGAAGAAATACCATAATAATAAGAATACAATGGCCCTAACATTTGTCAATCCCTTTTTGCTCTTATCTGAGCCTGTATTATCTTTTTTTGGTGTCACACCATCTAGCTCTTTGGAAGCGATGTGGCACTGAGGCTTTTCCATCTTCAAGTTACATTTAGATATAGGATTAAGGGAGAAATAAATAAATGTGTACGTTTACATTTCTAATAAATAACCTCAAACTTTGAACCACCTATATTATTTCCCTTTTTTTGACAGGCAATACTAGTGTTGCCAGCTGTAGCCGAACTGTTTTCGGTGGATGTTGATTTCGGTAGCAAGATCTTGAAAATTGTAGAGGAGGGCTCCACTCGGTTTTAAAAATTGAAAAAAGGAAGGGGGTAGAATCAAATGTTACTTATGTGGATTGCATCCAACTTTTTGGTACATTCTTTAAAACGGGGTTATCCAACTGGATATCTACCGTTTTAACCATTTTAACCGTTTTACCTCAAAACGCTAATTTTATCGGATAATTTATATGTGCTCCCTAAGAGTGCAGGTTCATTTTTTTTTCAATAAAAGGGGGCATATTACCATATTTTGAGAGGCGGAGACACCCCTTTCTCCAATGCAATGTCTCTAAGTATTATTGGGCCTACACGCTAACGCCACCAAGCCCAGTCTTTATTTTCCACTCACCAAAGTGAGACTAGCTAAATAAGTACACACACCCCTCCCAGCTCTTCAATTGCGACCACCTTTATGCTTTAAACAGAAATATTTTCTTCAATCTACCGTTAACAGCATTTTTGATCTGGCACCACCGCCTGGAAGTGACAGTTCTGCGAATGAGGTTATTGTTTTGACAAGAAAAAGCAAACCATGCAAATTTGAAAAGGTTGTCGTACAAAAAGTTTTATTTGTCCATATTATGATATGATTCTGTTAATAGTATCGTCATGTTTAAGCTTCCTAAGTGTTCACTCATTTTGGGTGGGATCTCAGGTACCAAGAATTGTAAAAATATGATTGAAAGAAGTAAGCAAATAAACTGTGGTATTGCAGGTTCTGAAGCTGGTAAACAGGCCCACACGTAAAGAAAAGGATCTGCTTTCGAAGAAGCGTGATCTGAAGCAAGAACAGATTTTAATTAGTATGTCAGACAATTTTGTTAAGTATTCCAAAATACAGAGGAAGATCAATGCAATAGATGGAGAACTTGCAACTACTCAAGAGCACAAAAATAACTGGTCGTTGAAATTTGGACTCACGTATGGTGCAAGAATTATATTTGGAATCACTTTAGTTATATTATCAATATATTATAGACTTAGTCCAGTATTTGTTGTTGATAAGAGCTTAGATCTTGCTCCATTTACCTACATTATTTCATATCCTAATGAGAACAATGCTGTAACATTTCATTTTTGGGTTCTATGTTGTACAGCAGTTGCTAAGTTGATCAAACTTTAGAGAATAAAATATTTATTTTTTTTTACACCCAGCATTCTGTTCTTTTTCATTGTCACAGTCAAGGGAAGGGGTCCCAGCATTCAGCCCAGTACAGGGTAACTTCAAATTATAACTATGTATTACTTATTATTTGTTTTGGCAGCACAAATGTTGAGTGTTTTGGTTTTGGCGGTTGTAGAAAAATCGTTTTAGATAGTGCTACCATGTGTATATAATTTACGATGTAATTCACCAATATCGCCGAGTTCAGCGTTTCCAGAATCGTCGCGGGGAATTATCGTACACACACCTCAAAATTATCTTACATTAATCTACACCTTAGATTCTCTCAGTATTTATGATGAAGAAACATTTCCTATAAGCTTGCTGTCTATGTTTAGTTTTCTTCAAAGATTCCGCTCCTTTTTTTTTGTTTTGTTTTCTGTATTCGAGAGTATCTCATCTTTTGTTGTGCCTCTCTCTTCCAGAGCAACTTGATTCGGAATCCGACATATTATCGTTATTGAATTGAAACCGCTTAAATATCGAAAATAACTGAAAACGATCTTTTGATTTTTATGTTTCAAAAGTCATAAAAACGGGAGTCATTTCATCTAATGCACATGGGTAAATAAAAATATGTGCATCACGTCAATACATAGAACGTGAGAACCGTATGACGGCAATTTTTCCCGTTGATGTTTGCCGAGATAGTCCGCGTAATGTTAGGCAACCCATTATACAGAGTGGGGTACGAGCGCTTGTCTACCAAGCGGCAACACTGACAGTGGGACCAGCATGTGCTGTACTTGAGAAAAAAAATAGTTTTTGATGATTTACAAAGCATTTGTGGTGCACCTTTTTGTATATGGCATATTTGTGTGGGGTGGGATGTACGGTTCAAATCTTGTGCAGCTAAAAGTGGTGCAGAACCATATTGTAAGGATTATTCTAAAAAAACCTAGATTATATCCCACTATGCAAGAAATTAACAATATTAAATTCTTATAAATATATCCTTGCAGTATATGTAGTTTTTTTCTGTACATGCAAATAAGAAATTGTAAGGATTATTCTAAAAAAACCTAGATTATATCCCACTATGCAAGAAATTAACAATATTAAATTCTTATAAATATATCCTTGCAGTATATATAGTTTTTTTCTGTACATGCAAATAAGAAATTAAATACAAATTATGTGTCCCATAATTATATCTTGCACCTAAGTTTTACAATTTGATTCCTTCTAATATCAGGAATATTGAGAATAATAAAAAGGTTAATGTTTTGTTTAAAATGATCTGTTGGGAAAATCGTGGACAATTTATGCATTTATTTTAAGTTGCTTTCAGGTATGATGATCTGTTTATTTATTTCTTTTCTTTTTTGTGATAAACTTGTGATACGGTCTTTTCTGATGTTCTAATGTTAACGTAAATGCCCAAAGAAGATTGGGTGGTGGTAAAACGGCTGACTAAATTCCAACCAATGACGACGCAGAAGGAATAGCGGTACCGGTGCACGTACCAGCGTAGTACACGCTGCGGGCTAACGTGCGTGTCTTTAGTTGTCGGTTGGCGTTCAGGGAGCGTGGTGCGCCGAGCCCTCCATGCAACGCTCTGCTTCTGAGCCAGTCGTGTGCCGGGAAGTCTTTGTCCGCGATTTTCCGCAGTGTCGTCGTGTCGCGATGGTGGTGTGAGTGATTTTGTGGTAATTGTGTATGAAAATGTGTTGTGGTTGTTCATAAAAGGCGAGTGAAGTATTTTCACGTTGGATATTGAGCATTTTTCTGACCTGAGTGAGCTGAATGTGTTGTGGTTGTTCATAAAAGGCGAGTGAAGTATTTTCACGTTGGATATTGAGCATTTTTCTGACCTGAGTGAGCTGAATGTCTTTAGAGCAGACTAGGTGAGTTAAGCATAGTCATCTACTTCAGTGTTAGCTTTGAACTCGTAATGTCAAGTTTGACTTATTTTGATGTGGTCAAAAGTCATTAGTAATTTTTCTCTTAAGTTAAACGTTTTCATGTGAGAAACGATTAAAGTCTTGAGAAACCTTAAAAATATCGATCTTCAATGCTTTAAAACGCGGGTTAAAATCATCGTCGAGTTGCCGTGCGTCTAAGTTAAATTTCGCACATTATCGTTCAAAACTGCGAGGAGTATTTTAAGATCTATAAGTATTATTACTTAATTGTTAGCAACGCGAGGTGCATATTCCAATGCGCGATTTTATTATTAACAATGAAATAGCAGCATTTCAAAAATGCGCCAACTAGGAGTAGGTTTGAAGTTTAATTGAGTAACATGAGATAACATTTTTAGAGTTTTTCAGATATTCATCGCTTATAACTCGAAAACGATCCTTTTAGAGTGAAACTATTTTTATTCACAATGATCCAAATAATCTAAAAACACATTGTATGGGCAAAAAAGATGTTTTTTGTAGTTTGTAATTGTTTACACTTTGCAGTGAGTTACCTCCGGGCAACCTCACGATTCATTCAAAAATCGAGATGGAAAATTTATCCCACGACTTTTTTCGCCTCGTTTATAGTAAATGTAAATGGGTGAATATCAGTTATTGGGGAATTCAATGTTCCTGCAAAAAAATCTTAATCCTAAGGACAAATTGTGGAAATAGACCATCCAAATAGTGGAAGATATCAATCTTTAGATGGAACATATGGCGAAATTGAGGTAACCATTAAGACTTAGGAAAAATCTGATTGACAGCTAACAAAATGTATACTGCCCTGGCATGTTCCATTCCCAAATTTCACTGCAAACATCAACAAATCTCTGTATTATGTACTGGTATAACAATAAGCGGATACTCTTTGTATTACCTAATACGTCTGATAACATATTTTCGCAAAAAGACACACTAAAAATATACATAAATGCGTAAAAAGTCCCGTTTATTAGTGGTTCCTGAGAACAGTGTCACCCTCACCTGGCGCAATTCAAATTGCATATATTCATCAAAATATGCCAACTATGCGACTTGACCTTGAGCAACAAGTAGCAAATGAAGAAGGGATAGTGCGAAACTATCGTAATTTGGAAAACGAAAGCCAGGGACGCGACAGTTGCCCACTAACAGTCGTCCGATACCCTTTTGCCAGTGAGTGAAGTGTTTCCCCTGGTAAGTATATCTTTGTTAAAATAAAAGTTACATTTTTGCGACTTCGGACCATGAAGATCCACACTTCGATCCTCAAATGTTGGACAATAGAGTTTCAGGTGCCAAAAGACCCTCAGAAAAACAGAGGAAACGGAGAAGTAAGCTTAACAAAAAATTGAAGAGATTTCAAAGGAAACTAGATCGCGTAAGAAGTCTAAAAATGCCACAAAAGCCGAAAGTGGACCGATTACTAAAAAATACGAAACCAAGTAATCAGGAGAACGTGGAAGAAGTTAAAAAGCATCTGTTATTCAGTGAGGTAGTTCAAAATCAACTAAAAGAAAATATAAGGCATACCAAAAAGAAAAATGAGAAGATACTGTTTCGTAAGGTATTGAGTGGTAGCTTTGTTAAAAAGTACAATGTTTTAAGCTAAATTGATATGAAGCCTGTGAAACGATTACCCACTGAGGGAAGAAGTTTGCTAGACGTGACAAGGAGAACAAGAATGAATGAAACTAGAGAGAAGATAAAGAACGTAATTAAAAAGTTTTTCGAAGAAGACTGCAACAGTCGCTTATGAGCAGGAAAAACTGACTGCATTACGAAAAACAAAAGAGGGTTTTACTAGACTCAATGCCGATAAGTTATACCTCATTGTGTCGTTCGAGAGGTTTTTGGATTGTATATCCAAACGTTCTTAGAAGAGAAACATGCTTGTGTGTAACTCATGCAAATATGGAGTTGATTTTGCTCTCTTTAAGAAGAACGTAAATTATAGACTTTATTAGTTTTCAAGCAATACTAAATTACTTATGTTGCGATCGCATGACATTTCCGGCGTAAAGTTGGAACAAGTATTAGAAAGACAGCCGGTGCCAAATATAGTAATGAGAGTGACACGAGGAGCAGATCAATCAGATAAAATCAACATGACCTTAGTGAAAGCTTTCTAGTTTTCCAGAATTTCCACTTTTCAAAAAAAATCCCTACTTTTTGCTTCTTTTTCGCCCGTTATTGCTATAAGCTTTTATAGCATGCGAACACGGTCGATAGATTAATTTTACCACTAGAATTTCCTGCCCAAAGTGTCAGAGTGATAGATTTAAAAACGTAGTACTTGTATACTCATTTTGTTTCTACTTGTTCCAGAGACTAGAGCAGTTTGCTGAAATGTAAGTGCAGTTTTCTTATTGGTGTCGGGCTTAGAGGCGACTACGAAAGAGAGCTGCTAGGTTGTAAAACCTACTACCTACTGGTTGACGACTCTCCATATAGCCCTCGCCCTAGGCAGGGTGCTCCATTTAGATAGTTAGGAATCACTAAGAAAAGCCGTCAGTTCAGTAGAAAGGTCAGGAAAAATGATAACAAAATGCTATAACACGGTTGGAAACTTTGAAAGTAGAGAGAATCGGAAGAATCATATAAAACGTACGCTTCAGAAACTCTAAATAGGTGGTCGGTAGTAGCGAGTAGATACGGAAATGTTAGGAAGTTTTGTTTGGGCACTCTGCGATGTGGGGCACTGCGAGGGACACATACAACATGCCCTTACTCATTTATCCAGGGGCACATTCGAGGTAAATGTGTTTTTATCAATAGGACCTCTGTGTATCCATTTTATGCGTCCATGTTTTAAATACCCCCTTGAACAACTTGCACCAATAAAAACAGAGCTTACAATTATTTCGGACTAGACTAAATGAAACACATGTGGTTTAGATTGGCCAGAGAACTATGGGGGATTATCATGAGTGCATTTTTCTGAAAAAAATCGAAAAAACACGTTACTAAGTAATATTCTTCAAGAAGCACGAGTGCTAGTGGCAACAAAAATCCGAGTTGAAGACGAGGATTTTTGCAACTGCACACATGTTTTTTGTTAAAAAAATATTACTTTGCATTGTGTTTTTTCGATTTTTTTCATAGGAAAAAATTAGATGCCCGAATGGTATTTGACAAGACTAGTTCATGAGTAACAGATTATTCTGCATACACATAACTTTCAAAACATACTACCATTGTTTAGCGTCATTTTCTGGTGTCCTAGGGAAAAAAATAAAAATGCTCATATTTTAGTTTGTGATACAATTTGCATTCATAAAGAAAATTTCTCTGATTACAAAACGGTTCTTACTTAAAAAATAGCCCTCGTATAAACCATTACTTCAATGCTATTTTTTTTTTAGGTTAATAACTGTGGCATGCTGGCAATTTTCGATTGTGCAAATAAACCCAAAATTATGGAGCGACTTGATATTCCTTCACCTAATACAATTGATCTTAGCAGTGACGGTTGAGGTTTTCTAGGGGTATTCCTCGCCCGAGTGCGAATGCAGTCACTAAAAAAACACTTTCCCCTAATGAATAGTTGATAAAATGAAAATTGTACTTATCCTATTAATGATCATGTAATTTTAGATCAAATAGTCATTAAATATATTTATATAATAAAAGTGTTTTTTTTTACTTGATGAGAGAAGTCCCGTATGCATAGGCAAAAAAGTATTTTATCCTATACAAAACCATATATAAAACTGGGAATTTATAAAAGTGTTTAGAGTCATAATGTTCTGTCGCAAGTCTGCTCAGTATGGGAATTCTTAGCACAGGTTCTCAAAAAATTCAGTCAGCGATAGAATTGAACTTGCAGAAGATTGCGATACTTGTCCTTACTTAACGAATAAAAACACTTTGAACTTGTGAAACTGGCTGGCATTTGCAAGTAATTTATGCTGTGGCAACAAACACTGTTGATGAACTAGGGCTAAGTCGCTATGTGGATGTGGGGCTATGTGATTCAGTATCCATCGTATCCATATCAGGCGTCGCGTGGCGTCTAGGTTAACCTAGTTTATAAACAAACAGCATTTGAAAAACTGAAACTTGCATATTCATAGAGCAATAACGTAGTTATTATCGATTTGATACGAGCATCATCTTCCGCGAGCGTACTCAGCACGTCGGCGTCGTCATTGATGTTTCTTTCCGTGACAGCTGCATATACACGGTGTTCATTTGAAAACTTCCCACCATGGATTTATCGAAAAAGATTTGTCAATGGTTTCAACTTTTTAAGCAAAAACTAACTACTTCACCTTTATAATTTAAAACGGTATGCGTTCTATAACTTAATATACGATCGTTTATGTATTATTTATGTTTAAGTCTTCTAAAATAGCAATTACTGTCCGTTCATGGTTGTAGCACTCCTAGTTCACAAAAAACTGGAAACACTAATAACGGACACTACTCAAAAAAATAAGGAAGCAAGAAAAAAATTCAGTAACTTTTGACTGGTTGTTTTTCGATGAGAAATGGTCGTAATTAGACTTCGAAAAAAGCATTAAGATTCTAGTGTTCAGGTGTTTTAGCCGAAAAACTTTAGGAGCAAAGAAACAGCGAACAGGAAAAATGTTCGGGCTTCAAAAAACGGTTTCTCCGGACCTATTGGTCGAAGTTTGAAAGAAATCAAAGGAGCAAAATTTTTGTATCAAAACATCCTGTAATCTGGTTGTGTATCCATGGAATATTCCAAAAAAACAAAAATATTAACCAGCGGCGGATCTAGAAAATATTCAGCCGAAATTAATAGGATCCGGCAATCAATTTGCATCATTTTCATACTTTAAGCAATCAATCCGGAGAAACCGTACAATGGATCGATCTGCCGCCGTTATTAGTTATACATTGAGGTACAAAAAACCAGTAACATAATTCTCTAGAGCATCATATTGCTCAATAATTCTACTTACAGCGGAATCAGTGACAGCGAACTGCTCTGTCATGAATGCAATAATTTGTGGGGTTTGATGTTAAAAAATGTTTGAGATTCCGAAAATCTTTTAAAACTGCGGTGCATATAATTGTATACGCTACTTACCAACTTTTGGTTGCATTTCTATATTTTTTCATTGTATTTTTCATTTTTTTGCCACAAACCTTTCAAAAAATCAGTAGAAATATGACTTTTCACTAAATCACAAAACTTGTTCAAAAATCACTAGATCTAGTGAAATTTCACTATACCTGGCAACACTGACCCGCAGCACTACTACAGCGTGCTGCAGGCTAACTGCCGTTGTAGGTTGCAGCGCCACTGTCAACCCAGTGTTTTGTACTTGAATGAATGGTTGTCCTCGATCATTTCTTCTCTCTGAGATTCTTTATGTTCTATAATTATGTTATTTAGGTATAGGTTTGAGACATACGACTTTTTTCTCTGAGTTCTCTCATTTCGTTCATCTCTCTTCACTGAGTCGTTCATTTGAACGATAGTATTACCGACCGGCCTCGAAGCTGACGAGAGTATTGTGTTGCCCATAGTAACGACTCACTGAGTCAGAGAATATACATCATCAGCGTTGCTAGATTCGTCGCAGGGAATTATTGTACAAACACGTCAAAATTATCGTACATTATCCTACACCGTGCCTTAGGTTCTCTCATGATGAAGGAAAATTTCTGTCTCTGAGGGGGGGATCTTTTGTTCCCACTCTTTCCTATAGGGTGTGCTTTCTTCAAAGTTTCCGCTGCTTTTTTTTGTTTTCTGTTTTCAACTTTATTCGGAATCCGCCATATTATCGTTATTGAATTGAAACCGGTTAAATATCGAAAATAACTGAAAACGATCTTTTGATTTTTAAGTTTCAAAAGTCATAAAAACGGGATACGTCGCATTCATTTCATCTAATGCACATGGGTGAATAAAAATATGTGCGTCATGTCAATACATAGAACGTGACAACTAATTGACGGCAATTTTTCCCGTTGATGTTTGCTAAGATAGTCCGCGTACTGCTAGGCAACCCATTATACAGAGCGGGGTACGCGCGTTTGTCTACCAAGCGGCAACACTGACAGCTGCTTGCTGGTGTTAATTGAACGTAGTTCTCAGATTGATTCAACATCTGTGAGTAAAAAAGCTGATTCACAAAATTATCGTACATTCAGCTATTATCCTACACATAGTATCGTACAGTACTTGAAATTATCGTACAGAAACGATAATTATCGTACATCTGTCAACGCTGGCCGAGTTCGAAAGCACAAAACATGTACACTGAAGGTTTAATTCGATGCTATTCAATAGCAACACAGTGACGTGTGGTTGTCAGCGGCCATTTTTTGAGGGTGCGACACGGTTGCCAAATTTTGCATTAATACCCCGCAACGTTGCCAGCTCTACAAATAAATCTGATATTGCTATACTTTTATATATAGAAATTTAGTGGGATATGGGAGATCTTATAACATGTTTTATTAATATTTCGCACTATCTTGACGACTAAGTGCTTTTTTATATTAAAATAGCAACGTCAATAACACAAGCTGTTATAAGATCACTCATATCTACTTACTAATCTGGAAAGGTTCAGAAGAAAAACATATACTGCAAATACCTAAATATATATTTATTATATAAATCTCATACATTTTTCTGCAAAACAAATCAGTATTAACATTATTATGGTTCAGATGTTTTCATTCCCCAGCCATTGTTGGCACCTGCATAAATCAAAAATCAGGAAAAAAATTGAACTGTGTTGATATGCTGCTACAATTCAGATTTCTTTTTTTATCAGAACAATAATATTATTATCCATGGATACCGACAGGAATTTTTCTCAGGGGTGCTGATCATCATCAAGATATAATTTTTTGTGAAATTGTACCTCCCTTGTACACAAAACCATGCTAAATATGCAAATTTTAAAGACAAAGTGGATTCACAGAAGAGACCACGGCCCAACTGACACCGCCCTGTGGGCACCAGTGTTATTGTTGAATAACATATGGCTTCGATTTTATTGAAATTATACTTAGCTTTGCATATCAACCCTGCTGCTTTAAGAATAGATGATTTAAAATGAAGTATGGAAACTATTTTGGACAAAAAGCAGTATAAATCATTACTGGTTATTGAGTAATATAAAAACTTACAAATGTTATGGTCTGCAAATTAATATACTTCAGAGCAGTACCTTCTGGTTAGATCTCAAGTAATCTCTGAACTCCTGATAATTCTCAGGATCTCAGGGGTTGACACCGGCAGCTGAACTTTTCGTAGTGCTCCACTGTTCAAAAAGTTATGTGGAGATTCCAACAGGTATGATCTTCAAATATTACACTCCTCAAATGAGTAACCGCTGCATCTCTGATCTTCCTCAACATTTGCAGAAGCCTGGGATCACTTTGGATCACCTTAAAAAAGAAATAGTTTTGATTTGGAGTTTGTTATAGTATTTGCAAATACATATATTACAGCTTTGGGTACTTATACATTTTTATACTTCACAACTCTGGGCAAAAGGCATATGTCTTATGTTATTTGAACATAATAGGAACTTTATTTAGTCAAAATAAAATGTTTATGACGCAGAACGAAAATGGCTTGCGGAAAAAGTAAGCTTATTTTTGCAAAGCACACGCAGTACAAGCACAGACACAGGAAGAAACCCGCCGGAAATTTAAATCTGACCAATCAAACAACGTCAATTGTGCATAAGCCGCCATTATTTGAGGGTGCGACATGGTTGTCATATTGTGCACTCGCAACACTGCTTTGTTTCCCATTCGCTCATAATTACGAGTTTCACCCCCATGGTATTATCCTTGAATATAATTCAACCGCACTTTTTATCGATTTCGTCTTTTTCGGTTCGGCAACATTGTATGGATGTGACATGTTCCTATCCGCCGATGACAACCGTGACGTTTCCACTTTCAACATAACCCTACATCTGTAAAGTGCAAAAGAAATCCACTTTCACTCATAATTATTTGCCTCGTGGCAATCCGTTGAATAAAAACATATGCATTTGATTGTTACTATTGTTCGTCACTGTTCTAGATATAAGCATTTAGTGAATAACATTTTGACATCTCAGACTTTCTGCTTTAGTTATCCAAAAGCACTTCATCGTTCTGCTTATAAGGCTCAGTGGGGCAAAAATAAGAAACATAGAAACATAAAACTACAGTGGTACTTAGACACTATGTCTGACCCGAAAATCGAGGAAGTTTTGGCGCCTCTAAGAGCCAGTGTTAAAGAACAAGTAAGTCAGGTACAAAATGTTTGTATGTTTCATAATTGCTTTTTATTCTCAGGGCGATTTGGTCCGTAAGCTGAAAGCCGAAGGAGCACCAGATCTAGATGTTAAAAAAGCGGTAGCCGAGCTCAAAACAAGGAAAAAATTGTTGGAAGATAAGGAATTGAGTTTAACACCTAACATCACATTTGATCGTGCAAAGATGGAGGATTTGCTAAAAAGGCGGTTTTTCTTTGACCAAAGTTTTGCAATATATGGCGGTATTACTGGGCAGTTTGATTTTGGACCAATGGGATGTGCTTTCAAAGCAAACCTACTTCAGCTGTGGAGACAGTTTTTTGTGCTTGAAGAACAAATGCTAGAAGTAGATTGTTCAATACTAACACCTGAACCTGTCTTGAAGTAGGTATAAATACATCATTCAAGTAGAATAACAATGTAGGTAATAGGTATTTGACTCAACTCATTTTTTAGAGCATCTGGCCATGTCGATAGGTTTGCAGATTTGATGGTAAAGGATACAAAAACAGGAGAATGCTTTAGATTAGACCATCTCATAAAGGCACATTTGGAAAAGATTTCTGCTGATAAAAAAACTGCACAGGAAGTTAAAGATGATTGTCAAGACATCATTATAAAGGTATTTATCTACTAATTGTTTATATTTAGAAACTTTTATTTGTATTTGCATATAGTAAGTAATTTGATGATGTTTTTGTAAACATATAACTTCATTTCTTTCTTATATTAGATTTTTTATGATGTAAAAAAATAACTATGATATTTTTTGTTTATGACTGCCGAGCTTCATGACATATATTCACATTAATTAAATATCCGAACATCCCTAAAACTTGGCAATCACACATTTTTAATATGAAATACTAGTCATATTAGATGAAATTACCCCTGGTTTGCAAAATAATTGTAAAGTCTGATTTTATTGATGCAAGTTGTTCAAGAGAGTATTTAAAACACGGACACATAAAATGGATACACCAATATTTGTGGGAAAACTTTTGACAACAAAGAATGAGAAAACACGTTTTTTCTAATTCGATCTAAAGTGTTGGCTGCAATGAAAAAACTCTTCAATTAAGATTTTTAGGTATTTATGATACCACATCTAAGAAGGTCTGACTAACAGTAAAAAAGTTATGGCCGAAAACTGAGGCAAAATGCAGGTTTTGTAACTTGCTGCTAATGCGACAATAATTTCATATAGCTACTTGAAATTCTTCAAATCCGTAGGCTTTATATTTCTAAGTAACCACAACAAAATTGGAGTCAATTGGTCAAGTAGTCATAGAGAATTTCTATTTGTTTATCCCAAAACTACTACTTTACTGAGCAATATACAGAGTTCGTTCAAAAGGCATTTTATAGCAAAATACAGAGTTTAACTTGACTACATAAATCACAAATCATTCCGAAAGATAATTGTTGTTTTTTCATGCGAAAATGCAGGGTTACGTTTTTTTCTTCTAAACAAATTCAAACATTTCGTATTTGTGAGTAACTAAACAGGTTTTTTACAATATTCGAAAAACATATGTTATTATACACATTTTAAAACAAAGCTGATGTGTCCATCACCTTTTGTTGCGAAGGAAACTATTTTTTTTCAAGATTTCTTCATACTCTTGTGTATACATATTTAGAGCTGAAATTTTCACGCAGTCACAGATGAGCCCTAAAGTTTATAAAAAAAAATATTTCATACTGAAATGGGCTGAAATGTTTACAAAGTTAGCATGCAAACTGAAGACAATCATGTTTCAAACTGTCTAAGACTAATTAGTATGTAGCATGAGCTGCATTATTGATGACTGAATGACTTTGTCAAATAGGTAGATCTCATAATCCAGTTTCTTTATAAAGAAATATAATTCCATGGACTTTTTTTCTAATAGTATCAATATAGTATACGTCTGTTTTCGATCTCGTACTATAAAAACGACTGCTAGTTCGAAATATTGGAAAATAAACTCGAGAAAACGAAAAAACAGTAGACAAATATCAACCAATTGTAGCAAACTGACCATCTTCAAAATTAGGCAAAATGCTCGGTATTAGTCCCTAATACATTATTCAAAGTTTTAGCATTGTATCTTGTATAGTTTTCAAAACTATTCCAATTGTTTACAATTGATATGTGTCCAACCTTTGCTTGACATTTGTTAGTGTCAAATGTGGTGGTATAAAGATCCAGTAAACCAAGAGGCGTCGTAGGTTCAAATCCACAACACCCAGTTTAAATGGTTTTATTTTAATAAAAGTTGGTGAATGTATTTATCTTACTGTAAATAACAAGTGAAAAAATTTTCAGCCTTATCAGTTGGACATTCCGGTTTTTATACTGCTTTTTTTTAATTCACTAACGCTCTAAAAATGAATATTTCAGCCGCAGTAAAGAATCAACGTTGGCGGATTTTGGTTCTTGACATCCGTTACGATGCCTAGAGTACGGAGACCTGTACGATTTCGTCAATTTAGTGAGTTTGATAGGGGCCGTATAGTGGGACTTTGGGAAGCTGGACTTTATTTTCGGGCAATTGCAGTTAGAGTGCAAAGAAGTGTAGACACTGTGGTTAGGTGTTGTCAGGCATGGCTTCGAGAAGGCCGAACGCAAAGAGCAAGGGGCACTGGACGCCGCCGTAGAACAACAGACCGTGAAGATCGCCGCCTAAGATTATTGGCCTTAAGGGACCGTTTCTCCACTACCAGGTCCATTGCAAATGAATGGTTTGCAGAACACGGAAGACCTATTGGCATGCGAAGTGTTTACCGACGAATGAGAAGTTTTGGCTTGTTTTCATACCGGCCACACTGGGTCCTCCCTTTAACTCGAGAACACCGACGTAATCGCCTTGAGTGGTGCAGACAACGGTCACTCTGGGATCAGGAATGGAACAGTATTGTCTTTAGTGACGAGTCTCGATTTTGTTTAGGCATGCACGATGGTCGTGGTGAAAGGAGGAATCCACAGTTTTTTGTTGAAAGACATGTTCATCACACTGTTGGAGTTATGGTTTGGGGTGCTATAGCTTATGGTTCCAGGTCACCTTTAATCTTCATCAGAGGTAACATGAACGCGCAGCGTTATATCCACGAAGTTCTAGAACCCCATCTTTTACCCTATCTTGACACCCTTGCCCCTTGCAGATCCAACTTTCCAACAAGATAATGCCCGACCACATGTTGCAAGAGTCACAATAGACTTCTTTCAACATAATGATGTCACATTTTTACCATGGCCAGCAAGATCTTCCGACTTATCCCCAATTGAGCACGTGTGGGATATGATGGGTAGGAGATTGCTCAATTTGCAACGTCCTCCTCAGACTCTAGAAGCACTTCGAGAGGAGTTGGTGGTTGCCTGGAATGAGATACCACAGGAGGACATTGACCACCTGATCAGAAGCATGCCTAGGCGCGTTGGAGAATGCGTAGCACATCAGGGTGCATCCACACATTATTAAAGGTCAAAGGGCTTTAAAGCAGTGCAATCATTTTGAAATTTTTATCATTTACTTATTATGCTTCATTAAGTACTTATACAAAATTTTATTAAAATAAAACCATTTAAACTGGGTGTTCGGATTTATATGTCACTTAGTATATTTCCTACCGTTAACGCGCGTGCCGTCGTCAAGTGCGATAAGGGATTCATGACTCACTCTGCGGTTGGGTTTTGTGTGGGAAAGGTGCGTCTTTATTTAATCCAAAATATCTTAAAAATGTACTCGCAAGAAGAAAAGTTTCAAATGATAGAATGGTACATCCAGAATAATTCAGCACGCGCGGTTGTTGAATTATTTGCGGTACGCTTCGCAGATCGGCCAATTCCGTCTCACGCAACGGTTATAAATACCTACGAAAAATTCAAGAGGGTGGGCTGCTTACATAAGTGCCATAGCTGCTTGCACCCTGAAGGTTGGAAACCAAAAATTAGCGAGAAAAGGGAGGAGATCGAAACTGCTGTTTGTGCCGCTGCAGAAGTATCTGAGCCATGCTCAAGCAGAAAAATTGCTGAAATGGTACCAATAGCCGATCTCACACCCAGAACAACAAGAAATATTTTGCATCGCAACGGCTATCATAGCTTCAAGGTTGGAACGGTTCAAGAAATATTTCCTTTAGACAAATACCGTCGAATGGAGTTTTGTGAAACGGTCATGGAGAAGGCGAACAGGGATGGAAGTTTTATTGGTAACATTTTGTTTACTGATGAATCCACATTTCCTCTCCACGGTCATCACAATCCTTCAGTCGTTCGGTATTGGTCTCGGGAAAATAAACACCTCAGTATTCCCGTCCGCACGCAATATCCACAGAAACTGAATGTGTGGGCAGGAATTCTAGGTAATAACATTATCGGACCGTTCTTTATTGATGGAACTCTTACGGCTGCAAAATATTTGGCGTTACTACAGACGCAGATTGTTCCTGCAATTAGGCAGCTTGGCATTGATCTCGCTAATATTTGGTTCCAACAAGATGGATGCCCGGCGCATAATGCGGCGATCGTACACACTTACCTTGAAAGTGTGTTCGGCCACCGGATTATTGGCGGTAACGGAACAATAAAATGGCCTCCTAGATCACCCGATCTAGCGCCCAATGATTTTTTCTTGTGGGGTTATGTGAAAAGTACTGTTTACAGTTTCAATGAGAGAGCAGACAATTTGCATAACCTACAGGTGAAAATCATTGAAGCGCTCGGGCAAATACAGCCTTCTACCCTCTTGAGAGTTCTTCAGGAGTTTTATAACCGCCTGACATACTGTTCATTGAATGAAGGAGACGTTTTTGAGCCCCAGCTGTGAAGGACCATTTGAAACATTTGTGTTCATTATTGCGTTTTATTTTTGAGAACTTATTTTTTTGTTAGAATATCTTTTTATTTTCGTTACACATTTTTAAGAGTGTACTATTTTTTGTTAGAGTGGGTATCTTCTTATTTTTGTTATGAGACGCAACCTTTATTGCTACAAAACCAATTATCCATTCATAAAAATAAGTAGAGTGATTTAGGTGATTTCGTGAAATCTCGAAATCACCGAAATCGGTTCACAGGACGTCCAATCGAACTGGTGCGTAATGCGCGCATCTACTGTACTTCTTCTGTCGACTCAACGCATACTGAAATTTGCAGCAGACCGCAGACCTGTATCACGAATGAGAATAATAGGCAGATACGCTGTGTTGCCAATTTGAGTAGAGGTTCCCAAATTGTGGGGAATTTAGAGTTAAGTGTTGATTCATTCAAGCTTTTAATCAGCATGACCTAGAAGTTAGAACTTCATAAAGATAACATTGAAGCTGAATGCTGCTGGAGTATAGTGTTTCGAATATTCAAAGCGGAGCGGGACACTATACTCGTTCAATGGGTCATCAAGCCACAGTCTTTTCAACAAAGAAATTATTTTACGAAAATGCGTTATATTTTTACGATTTTGTCGTCACCAAATCTCTGTTTCTCAAAATGTACGTCTATTGTAGAATTTTCATCAAACTAAGCAAGAAACGTGATCTAGTATTTACTCAACATTACGGATTTCTCGAAATACATTAAAAAATGTGACCTAGATACCTAACTGCCCCAAGCTCTTTAAATATAACACCTTAAACCAGGGT